CACAGTGAGCCACATGGGGGGGGGAGCAGCAAGAAGCTGGGCGTCGGTACAGGCCGCACGGAAACCGGCGTCAAGTGAGCGGAGGTGAGTCACTAGGTCGGACACAGTCGCAAACGAGCCTAGGTCGGGAAACACGAATGGCATGAGGAGGCGACTGAGGGAGGCAGAGGAAGGGGTGGAATAGCGGGCAGCAGTAGCATCCCAAACCCCTTGTGCTGTCTCCACCTTGTCAAAGTGGGCGGCCTCAGTCGGGGGGAGAAGCTCCGACAGCGTGAGAGCGGCGGCAGCGTCACGAGAGAGCCACACGTCCCGTGCCAGGACCCGACGCTCGTAGTCCGCCTGGGCCGTAGGAGTCGGCTCCGAGGCGGTCGGCAGGGCGGCGGGGGACGGGGGGCCTTGAGGGCACCAGACGCGTGGGCCCACAGAGTGGCGCCGTCCTGACGCTGGCTGGTAAGGAAACGCGTGGTCTGGCGCTGCCAGGTACCGAACTCTATCGGGCGTCCCTCCGCATCGAAACGAAGGCGACAGGACTCCATAACGGAGGCCATGCTAGAGGCGGCCGGAGCTCGGCGGAGGCGGGGCTAAGAACGAGGAGGGAAGCCTAGGAGCGCCAGGTGTGGCGCGGTGTGAGACCGGCGGAGCTAGAGGCTAGGAGCACGGAGGGACCTAGTCTAGGCGTGAAACGGCGGAACTCCAGCTACATGCAGTAGGGGCGAGGAACTAGCAGAAACACTGGTCTAACCTAGGTGGCCGGCGAAAGAAAGCGGCTGCCAGCCGCTGAGGGCGAGACCAGTGGCAAAAGAGTTGTCTAGGGCCCCGCGCGTAGGGTGGTAGTGGGGTTCGGGCGCGTGCCAATCGCGGGTGGGAACGGGCTAACGCGGAGGCGCGAGCCTAGGTGAGGGCGAGGGCACGGTGGGCTCGGGGGGAGGGCGCACGACGTTAGGAGAGGGCAGGGAGGAGGGTGCGCGACGGTAGGAAGGGGTGGGGAGGAGGGCGCGACGGTGAGACAGGGGCAGGGAGGAGGTTGTCGACGGTGGGAAGGGGCGGGGTGGGGAGGGTGACGTGACGGGCAGGGGGAAGGGAGGCGACGCGACGGGCAGGGGAAGGGGAGGCGAACGCGACGGGCAGGAGGAGGGGAGGCGGCGCGACGGGCAGGGGGAGAGGAGGCGATGCGACGGGCAGGGGAAGGGGAGGGGGGGGCGACGCGACGGGCAGGGGGAGGGCGCGACAGTGGGAGGGGCCGGGCAAGGCGCGCGTTGAGGGCGCGGAGGGCGCGGAGGGCACTAACGTGCAGAGGGCACGGAGGGCGCGGAGGGCACGAACGTGCGGAGGGCGTGGAGGGCACGGAGGGCGCGGAGGGCGCTAAGGCGCGGAGGGCGCTAAGACGAGGAGGGCGCGTGAGCGCGGAGGGCGCTAGGGCTAGGCTAGGGCTAGGCTAGGGCTAAGGAACTCGAACCTACTATGATACCATCTCAAGAGTAGAATGCAACGGAATGATGAGTTTAGGAAACAAGGCAGTACAAATAGGTAACCCTAACTGTGTTATACTCTCTAAGGAGCAACTCACTACAGCCTATCACAAATATCAACATTTGACAGTTTTCATGCGTTTGTGTCAAATGATACGTATTATTATGTTAGGCTACAGTGAGGTAGCTTCTAGAGGGTGCAACCCATTTAGGGTTTCCCATATCTATCTCCCATTCTGTTAGTGATCCCCATTCCGCTTGCCTATCTCTGACATGGAATCATTGTCAAAATGCATATATTGTTGTGTAGGCTGTAGTGGGGTACTCATTACAGAGTACAACCCTTTTAGGGTTTCCCCTTTTGTAATCCCCATGCCTGCTAGTGAACTCATTCCGCTGTATTGACTTTGACATGGTTTCAGAGCAGGTCCTGATCTAAGACCGTTTTTTTAGGGCCCATCGTCACTCCTGCCACAGGAGCTGCTGCCGTCGCGCGCTGCCCTGCTCGTCGCACGCGTTCCCAACCCTGCTTGTCCTGCGCGGTCGCGCTGCTCGCGCTGTCCCGCCGTGCGCTGCCTTGCTGCCACGCATGCTGCGCTGCTTCCCGCGCTGCCCTGCTCGCTGCGCGCGTGCCCTGCCCTGCCCAGCGCTATCGTGCTGTCCTGCCCCGCGTGCCCCGCACGCCCTGCTGCCCACGTGCCCCGCACGCCCCGCTGCCCAGCGCCAGCGCGCGCCCCGTTGCCCAGCGCCCGCGTGTGCCCCGCTGCCCAGCGCCAGCGCGCGCCCTGCTGCCCAGCGCCAGCACGCGCCCTGCTGCCCAGCGCCCGCGCATGCCCCGCTGCCCCGTGCCCGCGCGTGTCCCGCTGCCCAGCGCCAGCGCGCGCCCCGCTGCCCAGCGCCCGTACACGCCCTGCTGCCCCGTTGCCAAGCGCCAGCGCGCTCCCCGCTGCCCAGCGCTAGCGCGCGCCCCGCTGCCCAGCGCCCGCGCGTGCCCCGCTGCCCTGTGCCCGTGCGCGCCCCGCTGCCCAGCGCCCTCGCGCCCCTGCCCTGCCCTGCTAGCGCTGCCCGCGCCTGCCTTGCCCGCGCGCAAGTGCCACCTGCTGCTGCCGCCCTAGGTGCTGCTGCCCTAGGTGCTCCCGCCTGCTGCTGCCGCCCTAAGTGCTGCCGCTGCCGCCCTAGGCACTGCCGTGTTGCCGCCCTAGGTGCTGCTGCTGCTGCCCTAGGTGCTGCCGCCTGCTGTTGCCCTAGGTGCTGCCCCCCTAGGTGCTGCCGCCTGCTGCTGCCGCCCTAGGTGCTGCTGCCACCCGCGCGCGCTGCCCCGCGCTACCCTGTCCCGCGCCGCCTTGCCCCGAGCGCTGCTACCGCTACAGCCGCCGCGACTGCCGCCTTTGCTGCTGCTGCTACTGCCTTTGCTACTGCTACTGCTGCCGTTACTGCTGCTATGGCGACTCCCACTGTGCTAGCCTTAGACCCAGAGGGGCGCTCGCTTGGGTTTGAGTCCTGGCTAGAGGGTCTGCACTAGTACCTCCAGAGTGTCACTCAGGCCAACGCCTCTTTGTTCGAGCACACGGCGGTGTCCCTTCCGGCCCCCGAGGCTCCTGCTGTGCCTGCTGCTGACGCTGGGGAGTAGGTGTGGACGCAGTACCGCGCAGACCACGTTGCCTACAAGCGGTGGATGGCGCGCGACGCCGCCGCCAAACTTGCAGTAGGTGCTCACCTCTCGCGCGACCAGAGAGTCCACTTTCGCCAGGTGCCGTCGGCCCATGCTTTCTATACTGCTGTGGTTAGGCGCTACTCCCCCCCCCCCCCCCCCCCCCCCTCCTGCCACCCTAGGCTGTCTTGAGCTGCCTCTTACCTTCCCTGCGCTGTCAGACCTCGCCACTGTAGATGACGAGGGTGGTCGTAGTGGAGCTAGCGAGAGTGGCGGGGGCGGGCAGCAACAGTTAGAGTCTTCGTGTGTCGCTGCTTGTGCGCCTACTAGCACCGGTGCGGTTCCTGTGGAGGCGTTGCTCTCGGTCCCTGTCACGCTGGCCGACCCCACCTCTGGACTAGTCTATGCGCACCCCTCCACTGTTCTCTCGTGCCTCGTAGTCCCCTCTGACTCCTCTGGCTCGACTGAGGGGGGTGACCCTGCTGCTGCCGACACAGCGACCTCTCGCCGCTCGCCGCGCTTGGAGACACCTCTGGGTTTTCTGCCTCGGAAGTCTTAGCCTCCTCTGCAGCCTATCGCTGTAGACTTCGGGGGCCCATGTGTTGTTGGGGGTGGTGGCTCTGGGGGTGCTGGTTCTGGGGGTGCTGGTTCTGAGGGTGCTGGTTCTGGGGGTGCTGACTCTGGGAGTGCTAGGAGTCCTCTTGTTGGTGGACTTGGAGGTACTGGTACTGGAGGTGCTGGGTCTGGGGGTGCGTTGCAGTCGCTTCCGCGGTGGCCTATCTTTCTTGGAGCAGCCGTCGTCGTCGCTACCTAATCCGGCGCCCACTTGTAGTACTCCTCCTCTTTTGTTTCCGCCGCCTGACTCCCCTCTGCCTGCTCCTGCTCGATACTCCTCGTTGCCCGTCTCCCTGACTGGGCGTCGGGTGCCTGTGTCCTGTGCCGCCTCCCCTGCTACCTCTCGTGTTACTCGGGAGCCTGTTGTCGTGCCGTTAACTCCCCCGTCTTCTTTTTATGCCGTTCCTGGCCCTGTGACTGACCTTACTCGTGCTGCTCGCCCGACTATCCCTTGTTGTCTAGCCGCGCTTGTGACTGCACCTGCTTCTTCGACTGCTGCTGCTTCTGCCTTGGTAGCTGAGCTCGCAGGCTTTGCCGCTACTTGCCGCCGTGCCTACCTTGCTGGTCTCGTTTCTGCCTCTTCGTGTCCTACGTCCGTCGGGGGTGAGCTTGCCCTTGGCTGTGACGTCCTTGAGGACAGGCAGTTCGAGCTGGAGTACCTGCCGTACCCTCTCAGCATCCGAACTCGCTATGTTGCGCCCGGGAGACACCACCCTGCGCATTGGCGGGCTGCTAGGAGGGTGCTGCGCTACTTGGTCAGACTAGCGAGCAGAACGTAACACTTTGCACTTCGTTCCTTTGCCGTGCGAGTGTTGCACCAGCGTTCCCTGCTTCGCCTTCGTACGTGGCCCCATGGGCCAACAGTGCTTGTCTCTTGTTCTTGTCTTGTACTTTGACATATAAACCTGCATGTTTCTGGATGCTAGGTTGTAATCATTGTACTGCTTGCTCTATTATAAAACTGCATGTGAACTGCCCTTGTGGCCGCTTGCTAGTGCTCGCAATGCGTGGTGATTTTGAGATCCACCCTGAGCTTGCTTTGATTTGTTTCTTCTCTTGACTGGTCTTGTTTCCGCCTATGAGGGTGTGTCAAAATGCACATATTGTTGTGTAGGTTGTAGTGGGGTACTCATTAGAGAGTACAACTCTTTTAGGGTTTCCCCTTTTGTACTCCCCATGCCTGCTAGTGAACTCATTCCGCTGCATTGATTCTGACAATCATCGGTTAGTTCCTAGGCCGTCTCCGTCCTAGACCGTTCTAGCTCCTAGTGCCTCTGTCGGCCAACTTGCCTCGTTCCCTCCATCTCCGCCTGCCAGCCAGTAGCGCCAGCCCTTGCCACCAGCCAGCCAGCATCTAGACCAGCGCGCACTAGCAAGAACAGCGTGCTAGAAAGCACGCCGCCCAGCAGCGTGCCCCGTCCTGCTGCGAGCGCCAGCAGCAGACTCGTCCTGATGCGAGCGCCAGCAGCAGGCAGCACGCCCTGCCCGCAGGCAGCGCCCCCCGCCCAGCAGGCATCACGCACCCTGCCCGTAGGCGGCGCGCCCCACCCCACAGGCAGCACGCACCCCGCCCGTAGGCAGCGCGCAGACCGCCAGCAGCAGCGCGCGCCTCGCCAGTAGGCAGCGCGCGCACCGCCAGTACGCGCCCCGCCGTAGGCCAGCAGCACGCGCCCCAGCCAACAGCAACGGCGTGCACAGGCCAGCAGCGCACGTGCGCGCCCCCCAGCCAGCCGTAGCGAGCGCGCCCAAGTCCACCAGAGCGCGCGCCCCAGCCAGCATGAACGCACGCTTTGCCAGCAGCAGTTGCACGCCGCATCAGTACGTCCTCCCACACCGTTCTCAGTGCCAGTGGCTCTTCTAGTGGTGGCTGGCAGCCGCAGTTCTCGTTCCTAGCTTCCTCTTCCTGGCGCAGCTTAGGGTTTTGAGCGACGTTTCTGACGTGCAATTCTTCGCGAGCCACACCTTGTTGGCCAGAGTGACGTTCCTCCCTCAGCAGTTCCTAGCTCCGGCCGTTTTCAGCTCCAGTCGCTCCTAGCGCCAACCGTTCCTAGCCTGGCGCTTCTAGTCCTTCCAAGCTCCAGCCACTTCCAAATCCAGCCACTCCTAGCTCCAGCCGCTCCTAGCTCTAGCCGTTCCTAGCTCTAGCTGCTTCTCGCTCCAGCTAATCCTAGCTCCGGCCGTGTCTAGCTCCAGCCACTCCTCGCCCGCTCCTAGCTCCAGCCATTTCTAGCTCAGGCCGTTCCTAGCTCCAACAGCTCCTAGCCTGGTTTTCCTTGCCTGTCGGTGCCAACCGTTCTTAGCCTCAGCTCCCTTTCACCATGACGTCTGCTAATACTCTGTAACAGCAGGGGCAGCTGCGGCAGTCCCAGCAGTGGGGGCCTGGTGGTCCGAGGAGCGTTGGCTCCAGCAGCGGCCCAGACAGCTCGAGGGCTAGTCACGGTGGCCGCGACGTCGGGCCCTGCGAGTACCGGATATTGACTGGCCCTAGTGCCGGCACTACCTGCAGGCGTCCTGACCACTCCGCGTTCCGCTACTTCAATCGCCTCGACGACCTCTAACGTGAGCGTTTCGGGCTTGACTCGGTTCCCTTTTCCTGGCTTGTTCTGCTTCGTCGTTGCTGCCGTGTGTTTGATACGTCCATTGATCTGTCATGCATCCTGTTGCCTCTAGACCTGTCAGATCAGTTCGCTTGCGTGTACCTACCTTAGGATCTTTGCCTGTTGCTAGTATAGGGGCTTGTGTTTCTAGTGTAGGTGCTTTGTTGTTTTCATCCTACCTTTTTTAACACCCGGACCGCACTCGCTTCTACTTTCCATGGTTAGAAATGAAGGAATTGTCATATTATATCTGTGACATATTTTACCACTTATAGGCTAAGTTGAGTTGTGCACTAGTGAGTACAACACATTTGCATGCTAGCGTTACTTACTTGCACTCCTGCATGCAGTCATAATGCTTATTCTCCTTCGTTTCATTTGCTAACATGGTATCAGTTAGGTTAGGCCCGTACTTCCGCTCGCCTATCTATCAGACAAATACTGCATTCGCATCATTTGACTGAGAAGTGAAAGGGAGATTGGGGATATGAGATGTATGTATGTACATTGTGTACAAAGCGAGTTCCTGGTAAAGGGGTTGGCTCTTGGAGGAGGCAAGTGGTGAAGCCTCGAAAGGATACGGTATCCAGCGAAGGTGAGCGGCGGTAACTGGGCAATGTGCGAGCGAGAGGGCGGGTGTGTGGGAGGGAGCGTCTGGTGGGTGTGAATGACAAGTGCATGCTTGTTTGTTTCCTTTTTTGCAGCAGACACCGAGTCCAAGCCTGCTGGGAGAGCCTGTCGAGCAGCTGGAGGCAATGAGAGGGTTAGATCAGGTTGGCCTTGTGCTTAGGCTCAGCTCGTCTCTTCGTAGGCTAGCTTCAAGCCAAGGATAGGAGGGGTAGTAATACTAGGTTGATTGGGCCATGGGACTGCCACTGTTTACATGTTCTTGTGCTTTACTTCTAAGTTTTTTCTTGCTCATTTGCAATCTGATTCAAGGCCATTGCAAACAATGGAGGTAGTGTGGGTTTCCTACTTCTACTCCTGCATACTGTCATAGTGCAAATTCTCATTCTTTTCATTTTCTAACATGGTATCAGTTAGGTTAGGTCCATACGTCCACTCGCCTAACCGTTACCGGCCGTCGCGCCTACCTGCCTAGCCACTTGCCCACCCACTGCCGCCCGTAGCCCCTATCCGCCCGCACTCTAGCGCCAGCGCGCCTGCAGCCCACTCACGCACCCGCAGCCTTCAGCGTCAGCGCAATTGCAACCGTAGCCAACGCACAAGCCAGCATCCCGCGACAGCCACATGCGCGATCGCACATGCCGCCGCTGGCGCAATCGCGTGCGCTATTGCTCGCGCAACTGCGAGCACTGCTTCTCAAGCCCGCGCAGCTGCGCTTGCACCGCTGATGCTTAGGCCGCGCCGCCGCTGCTGCCTGGGCCGCGCCGCCAGTGCTGCTTAGGCCGCACTGCCGCCGGTGCTGCTTAGGCCGCACTGCCGCCATTGCCTGCGCTGCTGCACCTCTGCTGCTCTCTCCGCTGCCCTGCTGGTGCTGCCCACGCCACTCTAGCAGCCGCCTGCGCAGTTACCCACGCAACCGCCAGCACAGCCGCCCATGCTACAGGCCGAGCCCGCGCTGGCCGAGTCGCCCTTGCCTCTCAAGTCGCCGTAGTAGTCACTGCTGCTCGAGCCTCCACTCTAGCCAATACCTAGACACTCTTCCCGTTCTAGCCACCATTCCTAGCGCCGCTCCTAGCGCTGTTCCGACCATCGTTTCTGGATTCTCATCTCTACCGTGCTCTTGCCTGTAGCTGCCCCACTGCCCCCCTATGGCTTCCTCTATTTCGTAGTGCTGGCGGTAGCGGTCAAAACACTGCTCGAACGGGTGCAGGCAGCCGCATGCCTAACCATGGCGCGGGCCAGAAGCCTGTACTGACAGGGTTCGTCTGGAATGCCGCGCGACGACCAGTTAGCTGTCCCCCCAGTACGACCCCCGCTCCCAGGGCCGACCGGGCCCCACGGCTGCTGCGGGCCCCACTGTTGAAACTGCTAAGGCTGCTGTTGCTGAACCTGGCGCAGCTGCAACTAGGGCTACTGCTTCTGTACCGCCACACCTCCAAATCCAGCACCTCCTCTAGATGCTCCACTAGACCCAGTACCTCCTCCAGTGTCAGTACCTCCACCACCTGCACCTCCTCCACCTCCACCTCCGCCGCCTCCACCACCTCCACCCGCACATGCCTTCTTACCCTTGCCACCTCGCTGCCGACTAGAGGCAGCAACAGCTGCAACCTCGGTCATATCAGCAGGCTCAGCAAAAGAAGCCGGGGTAGCAGGGTTAGCAAGGAGGGACGGGGCACACCCCTCAAAGACAGGGGGAAATACAATACTAGAGGTGGCTGCAAGAAAACGGAGGCGGTCCTCGATCTCAAGGAGACGCGTCTCAAAGAGCTCGATAGTGAGGATCATGGGGTCCACTGTCAAGAAGTGAGCGGGCACCCACAAAGCGGCCAGGGAGGCGGGTCGCGCGGAAGTACAGCATCACATACATGGGGGGGGGGGGGGGGGGGGTTCTTAGCAAGCAGCTCAGGAGAGGCAGCAGTGCGAAACATAGAGTCAAGCGAGCAGGTGCGTGATGAGATCAGCAATAGAGCGAAATGAGGAGGAGGCCTAAGAACGCAGTGGCAGGAGTGGAATAGAGAGCGATATCAGCATCCAGGAGCTCCTTCGCCGTCGTCGCCTGGCCAAAGTGCTCCTGCTTGGAAGGCGGGAGGTGATCAGTGATGGCGAGGCGAGCATCTACGTCACGCGCCCTTTAGTACATGTACCCTGTACGACCCAGGGTGTAGGCCTTCTGCTCGTCTGCTGTAGTGCTAGTAGCAAGAGCAGGAGGACTGGGTGGGGCGGGGAGCTCACTGGCAGCATGCTGGGACAGGGGAATGTCGTAGAGAAGTTGGCTATTCAGGTAAAACCGAAGCAACTTCAGCCACGACTGGAACTCGACTACTCGGCCCTCAGGATTCAACCGCAACACTCTAGAAGTCGCCATAGTAGCTGTGGGCACGAGTAGCATGCTAGCAGGGGCGGCACAGACGGCATACTAGGGGCGGCCCAGGCGGCAGTCTAACATGCGGGCTACGTGGCGAGAGACTTCTTGAAGACCTTCTCCCCCATCCCCAAGATGACCACTCGGGTGTTACTGCACGTCGTAGCACATCGTGACTACGAGTTGCACTCACTTGACTTCTCCACTGCCTTTCTCCAGGGCAGCCTGCACTATCAGATCTTGCTCCGCAGCCCACCTGGCTTTACTGGGACCTTCTCGCCTGGGACCTAGTGGAGCCTTTGGCTTCCCGTCTACGGTCTGCGCTAGTCTTCCAGGGAGTGCCACAACACGCTACGTACTACTCTTGCAGACCTTGATTCTACCCGTCCCCTGCGGACACAGGCACTACGCCGTTTTTTATCCTCTCTACGTCGATGACTTGGTCTATGCTACTGCAAACAAGGTTGCTCTGACTTTGGAGAAGGATGAGAAGAGACACATTTTCATTGACCGTGGTGAGCTGCAACACTATCTTGGCTTGCATATCACTAGGGACAGAGCAGTGCGTACCATCACTCTGACTCAGTCACACATGGTGCAGCAGGTCCTTAAGCGGTTCCACCTTCATTTCTCCTCCGCACGGCCCACTCCTCTTGCTGCTGGTCACACACTCTCGGCTCCTGTTCATTGACGAGTTAGTAGAGCCTAGTGGACCATACGCAGAGCCGGTGGGCTGCCTCATATACCTGATGACTTGCGCTCGCCCAGACCTCGCTTATCCTCTCAGCGTCCTGGCTCACTTTGTTGCCACTGAGAGACACAGTCCCGCTCAATGGACGGCAACTAAGAGGGTAGCAAAATATCTGGCGAGCACATCAGGCATGGGGCTTCTGCTTGGGGGATGACAGCCAGTCAGACTCACATGGCACACTGACGCTTCCTGGGAAGACGACTCCGAGACCTACCGGTCTTCTTAGGGCTACTGCTTCAGCCTTGCTGAGGAAACGGTCTTGTGGAGGCCTATTTGCTCGTCGTCAGTTGCTTCTTCCAGTCCTGAGGCCGAAATCTACGCCGGTGCCACTGTTGCTCAGGAGCTCCGCTAGGTGGCCGTCTTTCTCACTGACTTGGGGTGAGAGGCCTGGCTCTGCCCCGGTCTTGTATGCTGACAACAAGGCCATGATCTTCTTTTG